CATTTCTTCCACTCATTTAAAAGTATTATTCTAAGAAGGGATCCATAGGCTTCACTGGACTGCCCAAAGGGCAGTTTTGACACAAACAAAAAAGGGTTAAGAGCACCCTCCCTAGGTGTTTGTACATTGCCTGGTGTATTAGCATCCCATTCCATAAAATCAGCTGCTCAAAGCTTCAGCAGGAATTAGAACAAATCAGATCTCAATATTAAAAAAGATAAAATGGGCCTGCATCCTAGCCAGGGCTTCTTTTTAGCTTCTACTTAAATAAACTGAGATGGCTCTTGAATGAGCTAAATTCATGTCTTCCTGAAAGAGGAGGCAAAAAGAAAAGTCCCGTCTCACTGCAGATTACCCGACTTCATCATCTCCACACTCCAAGCACACTGAGGAAGCAGCTGAACCTGTGTTGAGTTGTTGATAGAAGGAGCCCCTGTACCCAAGCCCGGGGTTGTGTTTGGGAGTCATCCTCCAGCAAGCCAACAGACAACAGTAAATACACCTTTCCAGCTGGTAAATTCACTTACCTATGCAGGAGTGTATTTTGCCAGTCATTCATTCTAGAAGCCCATCAATATGCATTTCTACTTACAGAAACACAGCATCTCAGAGGTGGAAAGGACCTTGGACACTTCTAATCCCTCTCATATGTAAACACTATCCCTCTTGTTTACATCCACACCAAGTAGCTATCCAACTTTTGCTTAAAGATCTTTACTGAGGGTTAACCCCACTAATGCCCAAGTCAACCTAATCCATTTTTGGACAGCTCTAATTTTGGGGAAGATTTAAATTTGCCTCAGAACCAGTCATTCTACAATAGGCCATGTGGAAACAATGAGAGGTCATGGTGCCATTTTTTTCGCATTGTCAATATTGTCTTTATTGATGTTTTTTATTTCACTTTCATTTCTTAATAGATCCCTGCCTGACTCACCACTCAGTGGCCAATCCCTTGTAACAGAGGGAAAACAAAGCAAAACCAACCAACCCATCAGTTACCTCTAGGATTCTGTACATATACCTCATTACTGATTATCAGCTCTGGGTATTTTCTCTGGCTGTCCTGGAATGCTGTCCTCAAATCTGATTGCTGATTTCCTTGGCTTCCTATAAGTCCCATCTAAAATACCACTTTCTTCAGGAAGCCTTCCCCAACCCCTCTGAATTTCAATGCCTTCCCTCTTTTAAATATTTTCTATTTATTGTGTATAACTTGCTTTGTATATTTTTTGCATGTTGTCTCTCCCATTAGATTGTAAGCTCCTTGTAGGCAGGGACTATCTTTTGCCAGTCCCAACACTTCGCACAGTGCTTAAGATATAGCAGGTGCTTAATAATTGATTGATTGATTTCATATTATATGAAACTGTGTTGTCTCAATAGAGTATTTATCCATATTAGAGTCCTTTTGATTTTTTTTAAGAAAAATGTTGAGGGCAGTTAGGTGGCCCAGTGGATAGAGCTCCAACCTTGAAGTCAGAAGGACCTGAGTTCAAACCTGAACTCAGACATTTGACACTTAATAGCTGTGTGACCCTGGGCAAGTCATTTAACCTAGATTGCTTCACAAAAAAAGCAAAAAAAAAAGAAAAGAAAAGAAAGAAAAATGTTGGTCCAACCTATGAGTATCCTTGTGGCCCATTTCCACATGGAAGTGGGCTGGCCCTTTGTCCAGGCTGGAGGCTCTTAGACTTTTACGACAGAATAAATGTTATCCCTGCTATCTAATGCACAAACAGCTCTGCCTTTAACTAACATGGGTCTATGTCCAATAATTCATGCAAAAATTAATAACATTCTAGCTATTTCCAGTTAAGCTGGTATTTCACATACACAGTCATGTGGATATGTTAACTGGCCATTCGTTTAGCTTCTCCAGGTCCTACTCCTGTGTTAAATTAGCAATATATCTAGAGATTATTAGCTCAGCCTTTAAATAGAAATGTTTTCACAGAATGGCAACTTAATACCATTTCCACAACATACTTGATAACAGTTCTGTTGTTTGCAAACTACAGCTGAAGATTTTATCCCTTTTTTGCCTCCCTCCTTCCTACAAAAAAAAATATTTTATTTCTTCATTTAGTATATACTTATATGTGTACATGTCTCTTTTGATAGAATGTATGCTTATTGAGAACAGGGATTGTTTTGTTCTTGACTATGTATCCCTGATGCTTCACACGGTGGCTGACCCAAAGGCTCTTGATAAATGTTTATGGATTGATTGGTTGATTGATGTCACCCCATGTTTTTTAGATAATTACTCCTATGATAAATTCCTCCTTGGATGCATTTCCTGGGGAAAGTTTGTCTCTGCAAATTTAATTCAGTTAAATTCAGCAAGCATTTATGAAGCACTTTTTATGTGCCAGGTATAGTACTGGACACTGGAGAGAAAAAGAAAGAATTAAAATAGTCCCTGTCCACAGTGAGCTTACATTCTACAGATGAAATTCTTTGTTTTTATTGCTTTGGTTTGAGTTTTTGCTATGGTTACCCTAGGAAACATGAAGGAAAATGTAAAATGTGCTTTACTTTTCAAATTAACCTTTAGGAAATTCAGCTAAATTCATTGCCTAAATATAATAACAATCTCATTTCAAGTGCTTCTTAATATTTTTTCTCTGCCCCTTTTAACTGATTTTTCTTTGATTTCTTAATTATCCTAATTCTCCGCAAGGAATTGTTTCATTTTTGTAAGCTGCTTTATATCCATTTTGGAAGTCAGAATGTGTGTGTGTGTGTGTGTGTGTGTGTGTGAGAGAGAGAGAGAGAGAGAGACAGACAGAGACAGAGACAGAGGCAGAGAGAGAACTGTTTGATTTTCACAATAAGTTGCTAAGTTTATTAAATAAATTAATGAAAATTAAATTCAACAAACATTTATCCAGCATTTTCTATATGTGATGGTTAAAAACTGACTCCTGATCATTCTTCTGAGAAATTCCTGAAGGAAGTGCTGGGCATGAGAATCAATAGCTGTGGCCCTGCTTTCCACAGCAAACCTCATTTTTACTGGTTGGTAAAATCTAGTAGCTCAGACATCAAGCAGGTGCTATCTTTCTTCTGAACTTAGGACTATGTGTTTCTAAATGATATTGAGGTTATAAATGTGACAGTGAGATTTGTCGGGGGAGGGTGAGAGCAGCTGGTAAGTGTTTAATAAACAGCTGTCCACAGGAAAAAAATCTATGCATAACATACTTTTAAGTTTAGTCTTCATCATTAATATTTTCTCCATCATTTTTCTTAAGTCTGGAAATTTAACAAAACAAATAAAGTCCCGATTTGTAGCACTTGCCGACTTCCAAGATTTAAATGCACTTGCTAAACATTTAAGAATAGACTCTCAAAAGCTGATTTGAGCTAGCTCCGGCACACCCCTGGGTGCCCTAGACTTGGAATAAAAAGACCTCAGGTCAGATTAACTGCTCAGCCACTTAGTAAATGAGTGACCTTATACTGGAGTAAGTCAGTAGGCAGGCAGCTAGCATTTATTAAGAACCTTCTGGGTACCAGATCCTACGCAAAGTGCTGGTGATAGGGAAAAAACTTGTCCCTACTCTCTGGAATACCTGGGTTCAAACTCTACCTCAGATGCCATCTCTGTGATGCCAAGCAAGTCAGTTAACCTCTCTGTACCTCAGTTTCTTCATCTATAAATGAGTGGGCTGGATTCCATCTAGTTTTGAATCTATGAACTTATTAACCTCTCTGGACCCCATTTTCCTTATCCATAAAAAGTAGAGGATCAATAAAAGTCTCTACCTCTAAGACCCTATTTTCCTAAATCTTAGAAACAGATCCGAATTTTTGCCTGAATAAACAAATTAAGGTTTTTTTTTAAAAAATTATCAAGAATAGTAGCATGACTAGAAGGCCTAAACATTCTTGATAATTAATAAACGGAAATGCCTGGAGTTTCCACCACATATGGTGTGCAAGAAGGATTTGAAATGAAGCGTTCTTTTCTGAACTTCGTAGTGCTCCCAGCTTGAATTCAAATAGGTTCCCCTGGGAGAAGATGTGTGAGTTGGAATGAGTTGTGATGGCTTGTGATGAGTTGTGATGGCTTGTGATGAGTTGTGATGGCTTGTGATGAGTTGTGATAGCTTGTGATGGGGAAAAAGGACCTAACAGAGGCAAAGTACAGGAGCAAGTGTTCCAAGAGGAAAGACCAGGATTCTTGCTCCCTGGATCAGCCTTGGCTTTCAGGAAATTACCCTGTGAAAGGGGAGGTGGGGACCTATGTTTGACAGAGGCTCCCTGGCCTGCCTGTGTTTCCTCATTGAGAAGAATCTTGGGCATCAGTTTTCCCAGAAGATGGAATCACCTCCTTCCTCTTAAATGTACATATCCTGCTCAGCAGCCACTGGACTTCCTGGAATTTTTATTAATGGTTCCAGATATCCCAGCAATAAATTTCTGACACTATAGCCTCTGCTCACCAATTCTAATAAGGTTTCATTTTTTTTCTTCTGTCAATGTCTTCCTCATGAATATGATTCAGTCTGAAATTAATCACTGATCATGTTAATGGTTCCTATGAGTTTACTTGCAATACCCCTTCTTGTACTAAATCAAACTCAATAGCATGTTAGATCATTGTACAGCTAAGTTTCCATAAAAGTGCTGGCCTTTAAAAATGATTTATTCCCAATTTTCTGATAAGATCTTTACTTATTGTATGTTTCATTTTTTTAAACTGGCATTTTTAGTAAACGGGGATGCTTTTAAATCTATCAGACATATAAAAAAAACAAGTTGTACAGGAAACATCTGACAATAAGGAGTGTCATGTGCCGTATATTATGATCATATAAGTGAATGTGAATAGTTTTATTCAGTTTTTATACAGACAAAATATTAGCATTTTACTTGCCCTGTTCAGTAGGAATGGATGTATTTATATTTTTGCCTTTTTTCAAAATATAAATTTTTAAAAACCTGATGATAGAAAATTGAAAGATCTTTTGATTTCATTACTTTTTTAGCTTTGCAGTAAAGGAGCAGCTCTGGGAAAACCTTTTGAAGCATCTGCTGAAGATATTTCAAGTGTTGCTAGTTTTATTGAGACAAAGCTTGTCACCTGTTACCTACGGATGAGAAAACCCGACCTTGCCTTGAATCATGCTCACAGGTAAGAAAGAATGTGGATCTAAAAGTCATTACTGCAAAGATGAGAGATAGATAAGTGGACTTAGGGAGATGATGAGGCTGTTTCCCTAGGCAAAGATGTAAAATAGTCAAAGTTTGTCTCCATTTCCCCTCCATTACTTCTTTGGACAATCCCTGTTACCACTCAGAACCCTGATCATCATCTTGTCCCCTTACAGGCTGCCTTCTGGACTTTGTCTATTTCCTCCACCAATCAAAACTTAGGTATCCACAGTTTCTCATCCCCTCCAATCATTGCTCTCAGGTTTGATGAATTATGATGAGTGTTAGATGAATTCCTCATTAAAAACTAGCCTATTGAGTTAGATAATCTGGATATAATGCCTTTTAGATAATGTATATGAAGCCAATTACAAAGCATATTAACTGCAGATTTCCTTTGGAAAATGTTGAGGACTTCCTGAAAGTAGGAAATGACACTGTGATGAGGGAGAAATGTTTGGAAAGAAAAATACTTTTAAAGTCCTCAAATGGCTATCTACTCTTGCTGTGGTTAGGTCTATGTAATTTTTTTTATCAACCTGATTATTTTTTGCACAAAAAAAAATCCCTCTTTTTTCCCCCAAAGATTTTACTACTGTTGTTTTGTTTATTTTCCCAGACATTTTACTGCTATTGTTTTTATTCATTCCCTGGTATGCTTTGTTCTCACCAATCAATATATCATCCTCAAGTAGAAGATCCTTTATGTGATCGTTTTATCAGTCAGTCAGTCAAGAAATATTTACTCAGCTCCTACTATGTACCATACACTGTGCTAAGCACTAGAAATACAAAGAAAGGCAGAAGACATTCCCTGTTCTCAAGGTACTCTCAGTCTAATGGAAGATACAACATGAAAACAAATATGTGCAAACATGCTAAAATGTCAATAATCAACAAAGGGAGAACAGTAGATAATAGAGGGATTGGGAAAGGCTTCTTGGAGGAGGTGGAATTTTAGCTGGGACTTGAAGGAAGCCAGTGGGTAGAGATGAGGAGACAGACCATTCTAGGCATGGGAGGCAGCCAGAGAAAAAACTCAGTCAGGAGATGGTTTGCCCTGTTTCAGATCACTGATGTAATATTCACCATACGAGGAACCATTAAGTCTGAAAAATTGAGTGATCCAGCTCATTTAAAAGGCTGAATTCAGTCAGGCAACTGTCATTTGGATCTGTGTTTTGGTTTCAAGTGTGTGTGTGTGTGTGTGTGTGTGTGTGTGTGTGTGTGTGTGTACATGTGTATTAGTTCAGTCAGTTGAACTAAATGAAATTGTCCAGTCAGTTGAACTAAATTGTCCAGGCTTCATTTTGGTGTTCTAGAACCAGCTCTACTCTTGGGATGACCCTTCTTTATCTTGACCACCACTTTCTCAAAGTCCAAGAACCTCCTAATTCCATCAGAGGTCAACCAGTTTGCCTTTCCTTCAAGTAGCCCTTATCTGAAAATAGACAAAGTACATAATACTGACCACTCTTCTCCCTAGGGTCACAAATTAACCCAATTCCCTGTCCTCCTCTCTCCTTTTCTCTCTCTGTCTCTCTGTGTCTCTCTCTCTCTGTCTCTGTCTCTGTCTCTGTCTCTCTCTCTCTCTCTCTCTCTCTGTCTCTCTCTCTCTCTCTCTCTCTCTCTCTCTCTGTGTCTCTCTCACCACTTTCCAAGGTAATAACTCCAATAAAAGGACCTGTCCATGACATAGACTTCACCATCCCTACTTAATCCCCCTTTGAGTGAAGTACCTATATTAATTGCCTTCCAAACCTCCATCCTTGGATACATTCCTTCCTTGAGTTCGTACTGTCCCCTGGAAGATCCCCTCCATGGAAATTATAACACTAGGGTGATCGACTCCATGTGAATACACCCAAAACCAAACAATCACTCAGGTTAATAAGTATTTATTAAGCTGATACTGTTTGTCCAACAGTGGGGATACAGACAAAAAGCAAACAGACCCTGACCTCAAAAAGCTTGCATTCTATCCAGAGAAACAGTGTATTTACATATATATGTGATATATGTGTGTACATATCATATATGTGATATATAATATATAAACACATGTAATATATAATCATACATGTTTATGTTTTAATGATATAAACAAATATATTAATTTATTATAAACAGAGGAACATACAAAGACAAAAAGCAAATAGACCCTGTGCTCAAGAAGCTTGCATTCTATCCAGAGAGACAGCATATTACATATATGTGTGTGATATGTGTATATGTCACATATATTATATATAAACACATGTGTTTATATGTTTTAACTATATAAACATATATGTTTATATATTTCAAATATATTAATATGGTTTAAATATATAAACATGTATTTAAATATTTTGAATATATTAATATGTACTATCTAAACATGTGTTACATATGTAATATGTAATTATATAGAAATATGTTACATATAATATATGTAAATATTCTATATGATTATATAACTATATATCCAATATAGGTGTAATGTGGTGGGGGAGCAGGAGAGTAGCAGAGAGTAGGGGGAAGGAGACATAAAATTATTACGTGTCATTTGATCTGAGTCTTGAAGAAAGCTAGGGCATTGGAGGCTCAGAGTTGAAGAGGGAGTACATCCCAGGATGGAAAGGTCCAGAATAGGGAATGTTTTGAATGAGAAACATCAAGAGGACCAGTATGGTTGGTTTGTGTAAAGGGAAATAACTTAAAATAAGGATGAAAAGGTTAGTTGGAGTCAAGTTGTGAAGAATTTCAATGCCCAATAAATATGGCAAGCCCTTTCCCTCAGACACAAATACACCTCTCAAGACAGATTTCTGTCTGATGATGCCTTTTTGTCTATAAACCATTGAACAGATGAAGAAGAAAATCACTCATTTGCTTATTATACCCCAGGTGGCATGTAGGAACTCCTGCATCACTACCCTTTTTGGCCTAACATTTCTCCACCTTCCCTGGAATTTTGGCTCTAGTTCTGCCCATTTTGCCTCAAGAATATGTCCTCCCTCCAAATAGAAGAAGATACTCTTGAAACACTGTCTGATGAACTACTCCCTTGCCCAATGTCCTGCCTCCCTTCCTAGTTCTTTGTTGAATAACAATCACCTACAACTTTTATCAATGTGAAAACCTAACACCTGCTTTGCTAACAGCCTCAGGGAAACATAATTATCTGCCACATTAAGGCCCATTATGTAAGTGGGCTCTCTGCCAACCCACTATAAGCAGCTTACAACCCTACAGCCACCTAGCCGGGCCACCAAGCTAGGGAAAACCCAAGCAAAGTGTCTTCACGGCCATGAAGAAAATTTGAAGTGGCTTTTAAGTTGGTGCCAATGACATACGGGCTGTAAAGTTAGCTTGACATCAGTTGCATTACCGGTACAAAAATATATGCAAGATATCGTTCTCAAATGGAATTTCTTCTAGGAAACAAGCCACAGATCTTGTTAGGAATATCCCTTTTGATGTGTTGAGTAACAAGTGATCTACTTTTCCTGGAGGCAGCCATTTGTTCCAATATGCTTGGCTGCAGGTTTCCTCTTGAGTTTTGAAGAAAATACCAAAATAGGCTCTTGGCCCACAGAATATATGAAATTATCTTTCCCATCTATTAGAATTTATTTGGAAGGAGTATAGTTCAGGTTGGCAGCTAAGTGGCATGGTAGATGAAGGAATACCTAAGTTCAAATCCTGCCTCTGACACTTAATAGGTGTATCCTCTTAACAAGTCACTCAACCTCTCTATGCCTCAGTTTCTTCATCTGTAAGATGAGGGTTTTGGACGCAATGATCTCTAAGGTCCCTTCCAGCTCCAAATCTGTATGTTCCTCCAATTCTTCTTGACCATGTAGACAATCATTCTGATATTCTCCATTGATATATTTTGTTTTATGGCCAGTAGTCTAGAAGGACATTATTATAATATAAATAGTGTCCTCTGATATTTCAATCTCACTGGCAAGACAATATCCTCCCTAAATGTATGGCAACACAACTCATCTTGTGAGATTCTTGTCTATTTCTTTCCATAAACTCTCCATGAATGACCCCACCTACCCACCCCAAAAGCTTGGAGGTCTTTTTGCAGTTTTGAAACATTCTTGGAGACCTTGTGCAGGCATTGGGCCTTCTGTGACTATCTCTTGCTCTCACTACATGACCACTTTTTTCCAGTCATATTTCTTTGTCATTAATGTTATCATAAATAAGTTGTCCTTATTCATCACATGGCTGCTGACACGCACCATGGATCTTGTCATTGCCTTTTGAGTCACCCACAATTTTGATTCTTCTGATATCATGGTACCTCCCTGATTGACAGCACCATGGAATCCTAGGGAGTATATTTCAGTTTAAAAGACAAGTTTTTCCTGGAAAGATTTACATGAACTGATGCTGAGCAGAACCAGGAGAACAGCGTACACAGTAACAGCAACATTTGTTATGACCAACTTTGTTAGACTTAGCTCTTCTGAGCCAGGCAAGGATCTAAGACAATTCCAAAATACTCATGATAGAAAATGCCATCCACATCTAGAGAAAGAACTATGGAGTGTGAATGCTGATCAAAGCATATTATTTTCTCTGATTTTTGTTTCTTCTTTCTCGTGGTTATTCCCTTTGTTTCTAATCCTTCCTTACAACATGACTAATGTGGAAATGTTTTTAATAGGATTGTAAATCTATAGCCTATATCAGTTTGCATGTGGTCTTGGGGGGGGTGAGAGGAAGGAGGAGAAAATTTGAACTCAAAATCTTATAGAAGTGAATGTTGAAAATTAAAAATAAATTAATTTTTAAAAAATAAAAGACAAGTTTTTGCAATAGTAAGTGGCTCAGGATCATTGAAGGCACCACTCATTTTTCCATACATACCCAACCTATTCAGTTGAAGACGGGACCCACCTTCCTCACTACCATCAACACCAGGCAATGACCAACTGCATCTGATGGGAAGATAGGTCTGAGGGTCCTGGGATTGAG